TTCTGACAGGCACCTAATTGTAGTGGGGGACTGGAACGCCCCGTTAGATCCCGACTTAGATAGGATGTCGGCATCATGTAGACACTGGGAGGAGGTAGTGGGAAAAGAGGCCTTGCCAATTCACAGTATGATGACAAGCAAAGACTTGATGGATCCCTACAGGCTGCACTTCCCGGAAGAAAACCAGTTCACCTATCTTAAAAGGAACCGCAGCCAGCATGTCTCAACGTCACGAATAGACGACTTCCTAACATCCCCAGGTATAATGGGCATGATACATGAGGTAGGCATAGGTGACTTACCGTACGTGGCAGGGCTGGATCATAAGTCGTTTTTTCTCCACTTGATTACAAACAAACCGGTCGCGAGGGGGAGGAGTTTCTATAAAGTAAACAACTCGCTGTTGCGTACCACATATATGAGGCAGGCTATACTACAAGTATGTTAGCCCCACAACCCAGAGTCGCAAGCCTTCCCTGAGTTGTTCATCACCCTGTCTAAAGCCTCTGAAGGGGTGGCCATGCAGATGGCGGTTAAGAGGGGGGAGAGTGAGCTGGAGCTACCGCAAGCAATGCGATTAGCTGAGTGTAACATCATCAGGTGTCCGGAGTGGCGATTTATGAAAGGGCTTTAGAGGCGGCAAGGGAGGAGCTAGCAGAATGGGAACGATGGAGACTGCGGGGTCTTCAAATGAGAGCCAGGGTTAAGGAGTGGGAAGAAGGAGAGCGAATGACCAAATTTTTCTTTCAGAAAATTAAGACCAGAGGAAGAAACGCCCTGATAGACCAATTAGAGGGACCGAACGGGCTAACATCGACCGCAAAAGGGATGGTCCAGGTAGCCCATGACTTCTACAGCAAGCTTTATGCAACAAGGGAGGTCGAACACACAAGGCAGCAGGTGGAGGAGGCACGATCCAAGTTTCTGCTCCACCTTGAGCCTACGATCACCCTACAACAAGCAGCAAAGCTCGATGCCCCGTTGACCCAAGAAGAATTATGGAAGGCATTGAAGTCTATGTCCCCAAATAAGACACCGGGGAAGGATGGCTTGACCAGGGAATTTTGGGTCGAGTACTGACCAATCCTGGGCGAAGAGTACCTAGCATAACTCGAGCAAGCATGGCAAGCAGAAGGCCTGGGACAGGACCCGGCGACGGGAATAGTTATGTTACCGTACAAGAAAGGAAGCCCAACGGACATTCGCAATTACAGACCAATAACGCTACACACGCTCACGCACAAGATAGTAGCCAAAGTATTAGCCAACCGTCTCACAACAGTCACAACGGGATGCTTTCATTTGGATCGGAAGGGGTTTATACCTGGACGGTTTATATTAGACAATGTCATGGCGTTAACAGAGTCAGTACGATGCATAAAGGACAAGAGAATTAACGCAGCAATACTGTTCTTCGACTTCGAAAAGGCGTACGATCAGGTCAGTTGGTCAACACTTACAGAGCTGAAGGGACGCTGGGCCCGGTTCCCAGCAAGAGTTGTACCTTTTATTTTCACTCACTATGATGTAAAGGGACGCTGGACCCGTTTTCCAGCAGGTGCAGCTCCCCACCAATGGAATGGAGCCATCTAATAATAATAATAACAATAATAATAATAATAATAATAGTAATAATAATAATAATAATAATAATAATAATATAAAAAAAAAGGTCAGTTGGCCTTTCCTGCAGCAATGCATGGAGCAGGTGCAGCTCCCCACCAATGGAATGGAGCCATCTAATAATAATAATAGCAATAATAATAATAATAATAATAGTAATAACAATAATAATAATAATAATAATAATATAAAAAAAAAGGTCAGTTGGACTTTCCTGCAGCAATGCATGGAGAAGATGGGAGTAGGCCCAAACTTTCGGAAATGGATCAGAGTCCTCTACAACGACGCCCATGGACAAGTTCAGATTAATGGACACCTATCAGCGAGATACAGGATGTCGCAATCAATCAGGCAAGGGGACCTGTGACCAGCGCGGGGCTGAGGGAGAGCCGAGGGAGAGGAGATAGAGAGGGAGAGAGGGAGAGCACACACACACACTCACTCACTCGACACGACTGAGGGTCGGGCGCAGATACAGTGGCAAGGGCACAAAGTCGAAGTCTTGGATTCTAAATGCCGAAAACAGCAAGTCACACTGAGTATGAGTACAGCAGCAGAAAACTGGTACAAGACTGGTCCCCGGACTGTACGGGGAGGCGGTATAAGTACCGGTGACACGTACGGTACCAGGGGCATTTCTGCAAAATCCCCGAGGGCAGAACTGAAAAATGCGGTAGTTGAAAGTGGCGCCCGAATTGCAGCATGGCGCCAGTTGTCCAAAATCTGACGGTACCAAAGGAGGGGGTTGGAAAAAAGGGTGCCAGGCCGAAAACAGGATGCAGCAGAAACAGCAAAAAGATAGACCAGGGATCGAGCCCTGGCGGAGTCCGTAACACTATCCCCTCCCTCTGAAAGGCAACGTCCCGGCTGCCAAAAAGCCAAGGAAACAAAAGGAGCTGTGAAGGACGGGACGGGGCCGATCACTGGTCGGAGAAGGAGAAGGGGAGTGATGCAAGTCACAGGGTATTCTGTCTGGTGTTCTGCACAGGTGAAGGTATGATGTAACTGGGTGGGTCTATAGGGGAAGCTAAGCAATGCTCAGGGAACAGGGTGGGTAGGGGAAACGATGTTCAGGAAAACAGGGAATTTCTATTGATGTTCTAGTGGGTAAGGGAAACAATGGTCAGGGGAACAGGGAATTTCTATTGATGTTCTAGTGGGTAAGGGGAACAATGGTCAGGGGAACAGGGAATTTCTATTGATGTTCTAGTGTGTAGGGGAACAATGGTCAGGGAAGCAGGGATCTGCTAATGATGTTCTACAGGGTTGTCAAAGTCAGGAAAAATAAAAATGAAAATGTTCAGGAGGCAAGGGCTGGTGTGTCCGAAGGAGTGGGAAGCAGAATCTCATGTAGGAACAAAGTGTCCAAGTGTCTTGAAAGGGGATCTGCAGCGGTCTTGATCAGGTCTTGGAGTGGGTGGTAGAAGCGGTCTTCAGCGGCTGCGACAAGTAGAAGTCCAAGAAGCGTAACAGTAGTTCAAATGTCCAAAGTCCAAGTGCTAGGGTGCGTCCGGTACACGAACTGCAGTGAGGTTTGATCTGGAAGCAAGAAAGTCGCAGACTGATGCAAAGATCCATGTCACAAGTTGCTGCTTCAGTAAGTCCGCGAGTCGGGATGCCGACCGATGAAACAGCATGGTGGCCAAACCAGCTGCATAATCTCCATGAACAGTGAGGCAGCAGGACATCGTCCTCGTGCGCTTGCCATTAGATCCTTTATCACCGGCATCACGCAGGTTCATAAGCATTGGACGAGAGAGACAAGGTAGTGGAGAGGACAGATGGGACGAGGCTAGCCAAGGGCCAGGGCAGATCAGACATCAGGGATCGAGGTCGAGGGGAGGGTGGACTGGGTTGAAGGGTGTGTGTAGAACGGGGTTGCGAGGTTGTAGCAAGATTTATACAGGGGTTTAGGGTTGTAGTTACGTGGATGTCTAGGACATAGGAGTAGCACGATCATAGGCGCGAACAAGTTTCATGGCATTCTTGAGATTCGAGAGAGGTTCCCATGTAGATTCTTCGTCGGGGTATCCGGTCCATTTGACTTTGTATTCAGTGATTGGTTCCGGGTGGTCAGATACCCGAGTAGTTCATCGACCTATGATTGCTTCAACAACGAATTCAGGGTCTGTGGGTAACATGATACGTGGAGGTCTAGGATATGGGCGATCAGCGAATTGGGGTGGGGGTTCATGATATTCTTGCAAGTATTTGACGTGGAAGACCGGGTGGACGCAGCTCATGTCGGGGGAGTTGGAGTTTGTAGTTGACGTCGGAGGTTTTTTCAATGATGGGGAAGGGTCCGAGCCATTTGTTCGAGAGTTTCTTTGACAATCCATGTTCGGGTTCAAAGCGTTTGGTGGAGAGCCAGACTTTGTCCCCCACTTTGAATTGCAAGTCTCGTCTGTGTTTGTTGATCTTGTTTGCTTGTTGTTCTTGTGTTCTTTCGAGGGCTTCAGTTGCTTCGCTGAGTCGTCGATTCATTGTTGCTACCCATTCATTAAGGGAAGGGCAGGGTGTGGAGGGGTTGAGTTGCGAGGGAAGCAGGAAATCAGAGGGCAAGCGTGGATGGTAGCCAAGGTCAAGGTAGAATGGAGACATGCCAGTGGAAGGACAGACAACGTTCTTGTAGGCGATCTCGGCGGCAGTGAGCAACTGATCCCAGTCGTGTTGATGTGGATGACAGTACTTCCGTAGGATTCTTTGGAGAGCATCGTTCATCTTCTCGGTTTGTCCATCGGTCTGTGGGTGGAATGCAGTGCTATACTTGAGTGTAGTTCCGTAGGCGTTGAAGAGTTGTTTCCAGAACTGTGAGAGGAAACGGGGATCGCGGTCGCTGATGATATTCTCGGGGAGGCCGTGGTGGCGTGCAACATGGTCGAAGAAGAGTAAGGCGATGTCTTTGGTGGTGTGCGAGGTGGTGCAAGGGATGAAGTGGGTGCGTTTGGTCAGGCGGCAGACAATAACGTAGATGCAATCATGCCCGCGGTCGGTCTTAGTGAGGCTGCACACGAAGTCCATGGAAATGGATTGCCACCGGTGAGTGGGGATGGCCAATGATTGGAGCTTGCCGGGTTTGGCCCCGTTTGAGGGATTGACAGCCTGACACGTGGGACATGAGCGAATGTATGTGTTGACGTCGGCGAGTAGAGACGACCAATAGAAGTAGCGGGAGATGGTGTCGAAGGTTTTCTAAAAACCGAGGTGACCTGCGATTTTCGCGTCGTGGTGCTCAGCCAAGAGTTGGGTACGGAGATCACGTGTGTCAGGGATGCACAGTCGGCGAGTGCCTTTGGTGTCCATGTAGAGGAGGTTGTCGTGGAGGGAGTAGTCGGGGACTGGGTCAAGATCGCGGAGCTTGTTGTAAATGGTGGCGAAGTCCGGGGAAGAGAGGTAGCCTTCGGTGTATCAGTGATGGAGTGATGGGAGGAGTTGGATATGGGTCATGGTGGCGTAGACTTTCTCGGGGGGCTTGTGGTCGGGTCGTCGAGAGAGGCCATCAGCAACGCGGTTGCTTTTGTCGGGGGTATGGCAAATGGTGAATGTGAACTGGGGAAGGAAGTCGAGCCATCAGGCTTGGCATGGGGTGATGTCTTTCTTGGTGAGGATGGAAGAAACGGTGGTGTTGTCAATGCAGATGGTGAAGTATTGCCCGTCGAGGTACGGGCGCCAGACTGTGAGGGCGTGAACCACGACGAGGAGTTCCTTCTCGTTGGAGGGGTAATTCATCTCCGCGGGAAGGAGCTTCTTGCTTGCGAAGGCGATTGGGTATTCGCCGGGTGGAGCCTCGGGGTGAGTGGGCGAGTCCTTGAAGGAGGGGTCTCGGCGGTGTCGCGGGGGAAATGTTGGGACAGTACGGCTCCGATGGCGAAGTCGGAGGCATCAGTGGTGACATAGAAATGGCGAGTGGGGTCGGCGATCTTGAGGACAGGGGCCGTGGTGATGGTTTGCTTGAAAAAGTCGAAAGCGTGTTGGCGGCGACCGTTCCAATTGAAGGGTTCGTCATTGCGTGTAAGTTCGTGGAGAGGGTAAGAGATCTCGGAAAAGTTGCGAACGAACGGGCGGTAATAGTTGGCAAGGCCGAGGAAGGAACGGAGTTGGAGGAGGGTCTTGGGAAGGGGGTACTCAACGAGGGCTGTGACCTTCGAGGGGTCCATACGGAGACAATGTGGCCAAGGTATTCGACGCTCGAAGCGGCAAACGTACATTTGCTGAGCTTGACGTAGAATTTTTGCTCTCGGAGTATCGAGAGGACTTGGCGAATGTGTTGAAGGTGGGACTCGAAGGTGGGGCTAAAGATGAGGATGTCATCAAGGTACACGACGACACAGACTTCGAGGAGGTCACGGAAGATGTGGTTCATGGWGGACTGGAATGTGGCGRRGGCATTGGTGAGTCYGAAAGGCATTATGAGGAACYCGTAGTGCCCGAMYYGAGAGCGGAATGCGGTCTTGTGGGTSTCCTCYTCGCRGATACGGATCTGGTGGAAGCCACTGCGGAGGTCGATCTTGGTGAAATATTTGGCTCCACGGAGGCGATCAAGAAGTTCAGATATCCGGGGGAGTGGGTACTTGTTCTTGACTGTGATCCGGTTCAAGGCACAGTAGTCTGTGCACATGTGGAGTTCCGAGGTGCCGTTCTTCTTGACGAAGATGCAACTGGTTCCGAAGGGGGAGGAACTAGGCTTAATGAATCATTTATCAAGGAGTTCATTGAGCTGGCGCTTCATTTCTTCGGCCTCGGGGACGGAGAGTTGGTACGAAGGGCGGCAAGGAGGAGAATGGCTGGGCTCGAGATCAATGGTGTGGGATACACCTCGATCGGGAGGTAAGCCGGCGGGCAAGGATTCGGGGAAAACGTCCTTGAATTCAGAGAGGAGAGCGGTGATGTGAGGATCGGAAGGGGGGTCTTGGTCGGGTTTGTCCGTTGGAAGCAAGTCCTCGGGACGCTCGTGGTCGATAACAAGACAATAGTAAGCGGAGTCGAGGTGTTCACGAGACATGTGAAGGAACTGGTGAGGGGAGACAAGGGGGTGGGGTAGAAGGGGGTAGAAGGTAAGGGATATCAAGAGGAGAGTCAGGAGGGCGGGTGAGTTGGACGAAGGAGGAGTGGAAGGAGTAGGGCATGAAACGATCAAACCATGGAGTCCCTAGGACGATATCGCACATGAGGTGCATGACATCGAAGGAGACCTGACTGCGAAGAGGACCGGCAGTCATGAGGGTCTCGGGGACCGTGCGATCAACAACAATGGCTGAGTCCTTATCCCCTAGTCGGATGGTGATCGGGGAGTCATAGCCGATGGAAGAGAGGTCGGCTTTGCGGACACAGGCTTCGGTGATGAAGTTGTCGGTGGCACCAATATCAAGGAGGGCCCGAAACTTCATCGTCGATGCGCCGAGGGAGACGGCAATAAACTTGAGCTGGAACCGTGTGGTTCCGACACAAGCAAAAGAGATCATGGTGTTGAGGCGGCGTTGTTCCGAGCCTATTCTAACAAGCCGATCGTGTCGTGCTTGTTCCTCAACGAGATCGGAGAAGGTGGTGAGGGAAGGGTTAGGGATGAGAGTAGAAGAGCAGGTGTCAATGGGAAGCTCGACCGACGGGATAGCAGGCGTCGTCGGGAGGGGGGCAGGCGGAGTAGACTGTGTCGCCTGGGGGTCGTCTGATGGAATATGCATCACCGGTGAGGGGTAGGCAGACGGATAGTCGATGCCAAGTGGGCCACCGGTGGAGTAGAGATCGTCATCGATGGGAGAGCCGGCAGACAAGTGGTCAATGTCGGGGGAGGGTTGCAAGAGTCACGGGGACAGTGTTCAGGTGGAGGAGGGTCCGGATGTCGCGGTGGAGGGAGAAGTGGAAGTAGAAGGGTCGGGTCCCGCAAAGCGAGGGGCCTGTCGAGTAAAGCGGCTAGCATTGGGGCAGTTGGTCTGTTGATGACCTAACTGGTGGCAGCAAAATCATTCATTGTGTTTCTGGACGTATATGCGTTCTTCGGGTGTGAATTTCTGGAGACGACGCGGTGGCGAGGAAAAAGGCGGTCGGGAGGCACGAGCCTGGCGTTCCATCCGCATAAGGTGGGCGGCCTGGAGGTCCTCAAGGGTGAATTGGGAGGGGTCGAGAGAGGCAGTGTCGAAGTCGTCATCGGAGGTGGATGGAGTGGTGGCTTCAGGGGTGATGTTATGGAAAAAGCGGGGCCGGGAGGGAGCGGGCGTGGATTGGTGATGGGGGTGGAGGAGTCGATCGTGGTGAAGCATGCGAGAGAGGAGGTCAGCAAGGGGCATGTCGGGTTCGTGGGCGAGGGCAGTTGCAAGATCTTTGTGGCATACTCGCTTGATGCGCGAGATGAACGCAAAGTCGGGAATGACGGTGGTGGGGAGGTGATGGCGGAGTGAGTGGATGTATTGGACGAAGCGGTCCGTGGGACCGGTCTGGCGGAGGTGACATAATTGTTCTAGGTAGTCATCGATGGTTTTCTAGGGGCGGTGCCGAGCGCATTGGCCCCCGCGCAAGCGAGGGCCCTCCCGGCCGCGTCACGCAGGAGAAACTTAGGCTTTCAACTTTCAAGAGACAACTCGAGGACGACACGGTAACCCGCGTCGACCCTCCGCCGCTCCGGCCGAGTGCGCCAGGTGTACATCCCGCGGTCCCCTACGACAGGATAGGTTCTCCCGGGGCACAACTTACCTTCCCTAAGGGACTGTCACCACCCTTAGGGGCGTATCCCCGCCGAGCTACCGACCCACATGCGAAAGCTTTTATAATGCAATCGCAGAGGTAGGCCAGTCGAGGGCGTTTGCTCGTTCGCTGTAGCATAGGTACACATGGTTAAACGCCAAAGTGGACCCGAACGTCATCCGTCCCTGGGGCGCTGATCTCCCAGGAATCGGACCGACATCGGTCGACTAGGACGTGATATTCCAAGCGTGAAAAAATCTCAATCAATCCTAGTCCCTTCTTTCAAAGACAATCAAAGGTTAAAAAAGACTCATGTCACGTAAGCTGACTGATTTTCTGAAATCGATACAATCATACATATCACTCGTTTGGGCTGACACGACTCTCGCCTTGATGAGATGCATTGCCAAGTTCTTTCATCCCGCCCTATACCGACTGCTAGAATGGAAGCACAAACAATTCTCAGCCCTCAAGTACAGCTAGGATGCCATCGCACCAGTGGTGACTATGCTCCCACTCTAACTTTGGTGTGAATGTCATTTGCAAGTGATATGGCTACCACTATCCAAGTTAGCAACTGCCTTGAACAATCAAACACTTGATGCCCCATTAAGGTCAAGTACCCACTTTTAAATTTTGTTGGTCGCTTTGTCCTTCTGAACGATAATTACACTTTCTGTTCCACGAATGACGAACTACCCGCCTTTAACATAAAGGCATTCAAAGCAGTGCTCTAGCCACATTCCCCTGTCAACTAGCCTGATTATCCCGGGCTTGCACTTCTTATGGTGCAACCCTATCCGCGAAGGTAGTGCCTAGTCACACTCCGTCCACAGCTAGTGAAAACACGAGCTGGGCTTCTTATGGCGCCAGCTCCCCATTCGTCTGTGGCTCCTAAGTCGGCCACTAGAAGGGTAAACTTTAGCGGTTCTTCTCAATGTGAGCCGCCAAGAACTTAGCGCCTTCCGTGAATAGCACACGTCCATCCCCTAGGAGGTGGTCTGGGATACCCCTCGTCCTCGCTCGAGCGAACCTCGGATCTCAGAAGTCAGGCTGGCTCCACCACGACAGCATGGTATCCCCCCGCCTACGTGGTCCACTCCGAGTCGTTAACAGGGTCGGCCCCTAAGGCAACGAACCCCCACCTCAGATGCCTCATAGGGGAAGGAAATGTACTTACCACAGCAGGCGGTCAACCCTTTATCGCCTTATGTCAAGGGTGAACCTAGACGATGAAGGAGATCACAGAGAAGAAAAACATTCAAACGGAAGGGCATAGAAAAAAAGGGTCATTCGGGAAAGAATGGGTGTCCTCAGGAAAATCTATGTCCAATTGATCCCTTCTTATTTGAGTGATCAAATTCCTTTGCGTCGTCTACTAGTTGTCCTTCCCTTCGACATGCATGTGAGAGGCAGGAAACAATCATCATTCCTTCATTCCCGCTGACATGATCAGATCCCCCTTTTCTGTTCCCCAAGCATCCTTCTACCTACCTGCACATCAGAGGAAACAACAATTTCAAAAGAGGACAATGC